CCTCCTCCTCCTCCTCCTCCTCCTCCCCCTGCGGTCAGGGATGTGTGCTGAGCGTGTCGCGCCGCCGGTTTTGGCCCACCGCGCTTCGGCGCGACACCTCCCAGGCCCCTGTGGCATCGACGGTCCGAGCTTTTCCCGGCCTCCCGCCCCGAGGAGCGGAGCGACACGCCATCAGTTCGCAGGGCACGGCGTGTCGCCAGGGCCACGGCCACCACACGCCGAGCAAAGTTCCCCGCAACGCTCTCCCTCAGGTGCCAGTTCTGCCACCTGTGTGGCCCTGACGAGAAGCGGAAGCGCCAGAAGGAGCGTTGGGAGCAGAAGCGGCGCCAGTGGAGGCAGTTCCGCAAGGCGGAGCGCAAGGAGCGCCAGACGAGGCGCCCGTTCTTCGCCCCGGGTGAACCGCAGGCGCTCGCCGCCTGAGGACTGGAACCTCCATGTCCAGGCCTCCCAGTTGGCGTCCGAGCAGATGGGGTCGGAGGATCGCGCCGATCTGCCGATGCATCGGCGATGCGGCTCGGTGTGGAGCCCGCTTTCCTCCATGCCGATGGCTCTGATGCATCGTCGGCATCGCCGAAGCATCGCCTGTGCATCGGCAATGCAAGGCGATGTGGCGCGATCTTCCGACCCCATCTACTCGGACCCGATTTGTGAGACCTCCAGCACTGGAACCTGCCTGACCGCCGCGAGAATTCGTGTACAGATGTTTTTTCGTTACCGCATCGAGGACGAGAAAGCGGCACACGAGCATCATTGTTGGGAGGTCCGCGCGGATTCCTGGTACGCTGGACACCCCTCCCTCGGCGCGGGGAGTGCGCCAGAGGCGAGGCCGGAAGCGCTGCCATGGGGGCCCAGCGCCGAGCCAAGGAATCCGCGCGGACTTCCAAAAGCGTATGCTTGTGTTGGCGTTTTCTTCATCTATCGCAGACACCAGTGTACAGGACCTCTCGGCATAGAGAGCGGCAATGCTTGTGCGCATGACGCTGCCAAACTGCGATTGCACCCCGTGTTCGCCCCCTCGCCCCCCAACGCTTGATCCACATCTTCTATTCAGTCTGGGCTTCTGCTCGGCATCTGAAGCCTTTCGGCCATTGCCGTCGGCCCCCTTGCCCTGGCCCCAGGTATCGATCTCCCCACCGTCATCGTCGGCGTCGTCATCCTCCTTCTGTTCGTTCTCCTTGGAGTTCGTAGGGGCTTTCATGTGACCACCTTCGGGCCGTCCAGGGTCCTCCCCGCCTCTAAGTAGCGAAGCGATTGGATTGGATCCCTTGGGGCTCCACTGGGTCAGCCTGTGGCTGCCCCAAGGCAATATTCCTCTTCCTATATTTTTACAAGCCCGGGCGGGGGGAAAACCCATCCCCCCCCCCCCTCCCAAAACCGGATTCCCGGGATCTGGGGCTTTGGGACCCTCCGGACGGGCCTCGAAGCGGCCCCCCGGGCCTCGTAGGGCGTTTCGCCAAGCCTTCCCAGCACACCTAGGGCGATCAGGGGTCATCGGAGACGTCCCAGAGACCCCCAAGACAGCACAAGAGCGCTCCGAGAGTGACCGACGTGACCTCAAGATGGCCCAAAAGGCCTCCAGGACAGCCCCAAAGAGGCCTCCAAGAGCACCCTCAAGAAGGCCCCAAGAGGCACAAATCTTTGATTTTCTGTTGGTTTTTGCTGAATTTGGGGGTTCTCCTCTTTTCGGCTTCCCGACGCTCCAAGACGGCAGTCTTCTGGGCGTCCGAAGCCGCCTGGGAGGCTCCAACATCGCCCCGCAACCGTCCGAAAGGGCTTCCAGGCAGTCCAAGAGATCCCCAAAACGGCACAACACGGGTCCAGGATGGCCCTCAGAGAGCCCCATGGCGGCCCAAGATGGCCCCAAGACACCTTCCGAAGCATTCCAAATCGTGACCCGGTCGTTCAGGGAGACCGCGGTTGGAGGCAGGGTGGCCCGAGGAAGTCCCCAGACGCCCCCAGAATACGCCCAGGAGGCCTCCAGAAGGCCTTAAGAAGCCTGGAACAACTTTTGTGAGGCCCCCAGAAGGTCTCCAAGGAGGAGCCTCCGCAAAAAGAGCTGAGGAGGATGGGGAGAATGCGCAGGGTACGGCGGAAATAAGGAAAAATAAGCATGGAGGAACGATAACGAAAAACATTATTATAGCGGCGATGCCGGAAAAAGCAACAAGGAGTTATATCTAAATTGTCGGCTTGACCTTCCTTCTATTCCGCCTGCATACCAAACTTCCAGGACCAAGGTGCATGGCGCGAAGCGCCACTGCAGTCTTGTGTGTATGTATGTATGTATGTATGTATGTATGTATGTATGTCTGTCTGTCTGTCTGTCTGTCTGTCTGTCTGTCTGTCTGTCTGTCTGTCTGTCTGTCTGTCTGTCTGTCTGTATGTATGTATGTATGTATGTATGTATGTATGTATGTGTGTATATATATATATGTGTGTGTGCCTTCTTGCTGCTCTTTGGGAACCTGCTAGTTTTTCCTGCATCCTTCTCTAGAATTCTTTTAACCAAAAAAAAAGTGTGTGTGTGTGTGTGTTGCATCCTTCTCGGGTGTTGGGCACCTCCGAGGCAGGTCCGGACAACTTCGGGCTGCGAAGGGCCGCGGCCCCGCAGGCACAGGCGCCACGGTGTGGCGGAGAGCGCGCAGGGGCTCGCGCAGGGGCTCCCCGCTCCGATTGGCCAACGCAGGCGGGCCACCGACCCATTGAGAGTCTCCCGTCGAGCGCTTGGAGGCGCGAAGCCACCCACGCTTGGTTTAAAGGCACGGCATCTTATGGAAAGAATTGGTCTGACCAGGGTTGGCCGGAGGGGGTTGGCCGGGAGGGTTGGCCCGATCATCAGGAGGTTGGCCAGGGAGGTTGGCCGGGTCCGTCGTCGTGCGAGTCGGCATTGCGTTGTTCAGAAGGGTTGGCCGGGATTGGCCGGGGGGTTGGCGACGCCAGTTCTTAGATACCTAATGTTTGAGAGTATAGCGTGAGGGGGGCTAGGTCGAAGGGGCGGGCTCTCGGAGTTGCTGGTCATGCGGTTGGGTCGGCGTACGTGCGACGGAAAGCGCCAAGCGAGCATCGACAGCAAGCAAAGAGGAGACGGGGGGAAATCTCACGGAGCCCAGTAGGCAACACCAGGTTCCAGGGGAAAAGGAACGACGCCCACGGGAGGTCCCAAGTGAGGCCCCAAGAGATTCGAGTGCCGGCCCCAGCAGCAAGCAGCAACAGCGCACAGCGATGAGCAACAGCAGCCAGCAGCACGCAGCAGCCAGCAGCAGCAGGCAAAACCCAGCGGCAACAAGGTTAGCCGCGAGCGACAGTGAGCAGCAGCAGCATGAGCAGGCAGCTGAAACAACGCAGCGACTCGCGATGTGCCCGAAAAAATGGTTCTGGGGAGGACCGGGGCCCTGGGAGCACGGAGCGTGCGTAGCTGAATGGGGTCGCGGGGGATAGGCATCGTAAGGCACCTCCAGGCGATCGCCTGCATGGCTCCTTGAGTCACCAGCGAATTCAGCATGACGGCCCGCAGCCCGGAGGACTCACGGAGGGGCTTGCGGACTTGCACGTGCATCGCCTCTCTTCGTTGAGTGCTCACCCTAAAGGGGGATGCCGCCAAAGCGCATGGTGACGCAGCACTCGCTTTCCGCACGGGACATTGCGCAGTCGAGGTCTAGCGTGTCACCTTGCTAGTTGGCCAGTACTGCATAATGCACTCATGCCTCTCCACAGTTACGCAGTATGAATACTACACTCCTCTCTCCCCTGACTTTGTCCGCAAGATAGCTGGGCCTCTCCGAATTCTGCTGTTTAACACCGGATGGTCTTAAATCCGATCGCTTTGTTTCAGAATGATGTTTCCGTGTTAGCGTGGGCCTCATTAATTTAGGGGCGATTTTGTGTTCCCGTCGTTCAGAATGGCGCTCTCGCGCCAGCGCGGGTCACTTTGCTGGATACCCGTCTTTTTGTTCTCGTTGTCACCCCCTTTGCTTCGCCTGGTCAAGCATTGGCGAAGCGTCCGGGCGTGCCTACAGGCCTACCAAACAATGTTCTATGAATCTTCTGTGGTTTCCCACGAAATGATCTTAGAACATTTCTGGCCAGGACTGTTTTGTTTTAACACATCGGGTTTATGTTCTAAGAATGTTTTTTGTTTGGTTCGAACATTTTGGGGGTTCTAAGAACATTTCGTGGTAGGACTATAGGAATGCCGGGACGGTCGGTCCCTGCTCAACCTAGGCCTTTTGCAGGTCGTCCCGCTCCTCCCGCTCCTTCCGCTCCTGGTCCTGCTGCTGCTGTTCGTCCCGGCCCCCCTCCTTCCCCGTGCTCCTCATCCTCTTTTTCCTCCTGCTCGTCCTCCTTCTCATCAGCCACCTCCAATGCACGCAGCTCCTTGCTCTCCAGCTGCGCACTACACGACAGGGTCCTCTCTGGAGTTCCAGGTCCGCTATGAAACGCGACGGCGGATAGTGAAAACACAGCACGCTGAGAAGGGACGGGTTGGAGGGGTAGGATGTCAGCTATGGCGCGAGCGCACCTAGCTTCCCCCCACCCCCTCCCCGGCTCTCCTCCCACCCACCCCGCTGCCCCCCACCACCCATAGCATGTTAAGAACCGCCGAGCGTCATCGGAAACGTAAGACAAGCTCAAAGGAGGAAACCTAGGAACCAGCACAGACAGAAGCATGAACCTCCAGAGGTCCGCGCGCACGTCTTGGGTCGGCGGTGCACCCCCCCCCCCCTGGCGACGCCTACGGCGCCGCCCCAGGCGCGCCCACCAAGATGTTCGCGCGCACCTCCGAAAGCTTGTCGCAGGCACGCGGAATGAGAAAAGTTGACTGCCAGCAGGCGCACCCCGAGAGTTTCTCGGCGGCGAGCGAGGGGGGAAAGGTTCAGGAGGGGAAAAAAAGCACAGACACAATTAATCGCCGATCCCCCGGAAAATATACGAAAATATGGGAAGTGGGGGGAAGACAAAAACCCAGAAAATATTGGAAAATATGGGGAATCTGTTTATTTGTGTGTATTTATTTGTGTGCTCTGGGGCCCCTCTAAAGGTGAGGAGGGGCAGACCTTCTCAGAAGGCTCCGAAGTCCCCCGGCCTTCTGAGAAGTGCCCCAAGCCTTTTCCCGACGACGAAACAGAGTCTCGGAAGGCGCGAGGGCTTCTGAGAAGCCCTGCCTGCTTTGAGAAGGCCTCCTCGCTCCCTCGCCGCCTCCTCCTCCTGGTGCTGCTGGTCCTGCTGGAGTGCCCCTGCTGCCTCTCCTCCTCAGTTTCCCCCCCCGCGCTCGCCGCCGAGTTTCTGATCCCCTGACAGGTCTGGAGAGCTCAGGAGGCGACGAAGGATGTCCGGGGGCCCCCAAACGGGGTGGTGACCACACCGTGTGATGAGTCGGTGGGGATTCGGGGTCACCGCACGGTTTTGGGACTCGGGTCGTTCTCCGAGGACGTATCGGGCGACTGGGGCATCCGAGGTCCCAAAACCGTGCGTTGACGGACCGTGCGGTGAGGTCTTGGGGGATTTCGAGGTCATTGCACGGTCTGTCACCGCACCATTTCGGGACTCCAAAGATGTGCCCCAGATGTTCTACGGCAGGACTCATTGTACAACGGGGGCGCGCATCAAGAAGCCATTTGGTTTTCGTCAGGGTGCCCTTGGTTTCTTCGCTCCGCGCGCTGCATGGTGACTCCCCGCCGCCGTCAAAGCAGCTGCTGCCTTCAGGGTGCGCCAGGTTCCCTTTCAGGTGCACCTCGCGCGCGGGTTTTCGGGGTTGGGTTTCTTGCGAGGGTTTCTTGCGACCGCGCCCGCACTAGATGTGCGTACACCCACGGCTGTCAATAAGAAAGTTACCTTTTTCGTTCTAGTCGCGGCTGCTTGTTTATGGCGCGACCTGGTGTGGCATTTCAGGGGCTGGCAACTTACGCGCTCGGTGTCTTGTCCCATGCCTCGAGAGTCCGCGGGTTGCTATGGTCGCACTTGGTCGCCCAGTACCGTGGGGGCGTTCGTTAAGGAGTGTGCCCAGGATGCGACAGACCCTGGGAAATCCCTTATCTGATGAGGGCGGCGGTGATCTCCATAGGCTAACATCAGTTGGACTTCCACTGGTGCCCAGATCCTGGCTTCCTTGTCCAAGATGGCTCCTTTCCCAAAGCCCTCGCTGCAGCTTGTTTCTGGTTACCCGCCGGTTGCCCTGGTCGGGTTGGCCACTCTGCATATTGGTTGCCCCTTGCCCTGGCATGTCTTGGTGTGTCTTCGGTTGGCAGTCGGTTGCCCCGGCCACGCTTGGCCCGACGGCCGCCCTTCGGTCGCTCTGCCCATCGGCCGCCCTTGCTCAGCCGATTTGGGCTGCTTGGGGCTGCTTTCCGGAGATTGCTCTGGCCAGCGACGGCGGCCGCCCCTCCCATATGGACAGCCGAGCACAGGCCGCCGAGGGGCGGCCGACCGCACACACAGAAGCCATCGATGGGGCGGCCGACGGGCCCGGCGCGACCGGGGCGACCCGCGGACGACCGAGAACGGGACACGTCACCAGCCTCGAACGTATCCCTATCCCTAAGATTGACACGCCAAAAGGCGATGACAATCTTGGGGATTCGCCCTCAAAAAGTAAGGGAACCCCTACGATTGGCATCGCGATGAGGAGATGCCCAGCATAGGGATGGATATGTTCCAGGCTGGTAAACACGACCAACATCAGCCAGGCAAGGAGCAGCCGATCGGCAGAGCGACCAGGAGTCAAGCAGTGGCGAAGCGTCCTGGCTCGCCGATGGGCCTACCGAACAATGTTCTAAGAACCTTTTTGTGATTTCCGCGAGATGTTCAGAGAAAATGTCTGGCTGTGACAGTCCTGTTTTAACACATGGGTATTATGTTCTAAGAACATGTTTTTGTTCATAGAACATTTTTGGAGTCTTCAGCCGGGGGCGGCATAGCCAAGGAGTCTTCAGCCGGGCTGGGCCCTGGGGAGGCCGGGCCATCGGGAGAAGCTGGCCACGAAATCAGCGGTTATGGTTGTGTCTGCTGACCCTAGATGCGACGTCAAGTTTCTCATGTCATGGTGCTCATGGATTCCTTCTCCTCATTGGCCGCGGGCGTACAGTCGGCATGTCGATGTCAGTAGTGGTGCTTCTTCTGCGATCGGGAGGGCACTCTGCCTCCTCCGCCTCCTGTTGCCCAGGCGCGGGCCCGCGCTCCTGGGGCACTCCTGCCCCTGCCCCCGCTGGCGCTGGCTCCTGCACCACCCATTGCTGCCGCCGCCGCCTGTTCCGCTGCTGCTCCTGCTCCCCCTCGTACGGACGGACGGACGGACCGACGTACGGCGGACGACGGACGACGGACGACGGCCGACGGACGACCGACCTCCGACGACCGACGACCGGCGACGACGTCGTCGGCGCTCTCGCCCTCGGCCGCCGGGCGCACGAGGCCGCGGCGTCGTGCGAGGCCGCCGCGCGGCGGGGGGCGCCTGCCGCCCGGGGAGGACCCCGCCACCGGGGAGCGCAGCGGCGGCCCGGCCCCGCCTCGAGGGGCGGTGCTGCGCTCCCGTGCGCTGCCGCGGCGCGCCTGCCGAGGTCGTCTTTTGGGGGCGCCCTCGTCCTGGGCTCCCGGGCGGCGCTGCACGTGCAGGGCCACCGCCCGGGGGGTGGACACGCGGGGACCTCTCGGCAGGCGGTGGGTCTGCAGATGTTCTGATTCCCAGGGAGCCCAGGTGCGTACACAGCGTTTGTATGTATGTATGTATATAAATGTATGGGTGTGCATGTGTATGGATGCAGTATGTGTAATTGTACTTGTGCACGTCTATGTATGTAATTACATACATTCATTTCTATATATATATATATATGTATAGACATATAGATGTGTATATATATGTGTGTATGCACATGTGTGTTCTAAAATGTCGGACTGTGCCCCCCCCACAGCCTCCCCCTGGCACATTATGACAGCCACCCGCCCACCCTGGTGACCGAATCTAGCCCCCAGCGTCTGGCCTGTCTTATGCCTTTTCGGGGGACGCGTTCACTTTCCATATGGGTGAAGATGGCCGCAGACGGTCACAATCCGGGGCCACGAGACCCAGAAAGCAGCCAACATCTGTTTCGGACCGCACCAAATTGCCCCACATGTATCCAGGACAGCACCGATACGGTCCAAGAGGCCCCCCAAACTGCTCAAGAGGTAACCAGGAGGGCCCCAAGAGGTGGAACTCGAGGTAACATATTGCGCTCTCCGCCTCAAGATGACCTCCAAGACCGGCAGTAGGCCCTCAAGACACCCACCAGAAGCCCCAAAAGGCCGCCCAGTAGCCCGACTCTGAGCCCAGGTGGCTTCCGGGGCCCTGGAGGCCCCAAGGCACGCTTCCAAGCGGCCTCTTGACCTACAGCCCAAGGCGTCGCCTCGTCTGAGCACCGAGCGGTCTTAGCTGCCCTGATACGCCCGCTCGAAAACGCAGCCCGTGCCGTGTTCGAAACGTCCGTGTCAACACGCTGCGTGATGGCCCAGCGTGTTGGCCCACGTTTTGGGGGGCGCGTATCGCGTCAAACGTACCTTTTCAATCTACGTGTTGAGCTCCGTATCAACACGCTACAGGTTGCGTGTTGCGTGCTGGGGCAGCTAAGCCAGCGCCACGAGAAGCAGCGCCGGGGCTCGGCGAGGGCCCCGGGGGTAGAGAGCGACGAAGTTAACGTGCCGTTTTTGCTCAACGACCCGTGGAGGCATGGGACCGCCTCCACCCTCCGGCCGCCATCCTCCTGGGTGAGCCGCCGCATGGCGCCGGTGTCCTTGCGCGTGGCTCTGGCCGTGTCCGGCGAGGAGCTCTGCCGGATCGACACGGAGAGTTGCTGCAGCATCGGGGAGGTCAAGGCGCCGCGGCCGCTGCCCGGGGGGTGCGGCCGCAGAGGGGCCCAAACCCAAGCCTCAATTCGACGATATGATTGCTTCCATCTTGGCGTTTTGTTTGTTCAAGTGGCTTAGGCTTAGCTTACGCCATTCCGCTGACCCCCACAAGAGACAAAGAGTAATGCACAATGCAAGGCCTCTTGACAGAATCTTGAGGCTTCCGGGGGGCTGATGGGAGGCCTGTCGGAGCTTTCGTGGGGCCTCGTGGGGAAGGACCTTGGGGTGCTCTTGGGGGCATCTTGGGGGAAAAGGCTACTACGGTGAAGTCGTCTTGCCCCTCTTGGGTACATTTTGTGGTCCTCGTGGGCCGTTCTGGGGGCCATATTGGGCTGTCTGGGAGCCCTCTTGGGCTGTCTTGGGGCGGTATTGGGGCCTTCGGGGCCGTCTTGGGGCGATTATGTGGGGCCTGTGAGCCGTTGTGAACTTTGGGAAGATGAAATGAGAAACGAGTTTGCTAAACATGTCCGTTTACCGAAACGATGGGGCGGTTCTTGTCATCGGGGGCCTTCTCGGCGGTCGTCTGAAAGCTTTCTTGGGCTATTCGAATCGCCCCGGGAACAGTCTGGAAGCTATATTGGACCGTCGAGGGGCTATTGAGGGCCGTCTCGACGCTCTCTTGGACGGCCTGAAAGCTCTTATGGGCCCGTCCCGTGGCGTTCTGGCTCCAGAATTTACGCCAGTGAGCTCGTCGACCCCCCCCCAGGACCCCCCCCCTCCCATACGACTTTCGGCCCCAGGGAGGGGGAGTGGGGGGAGGGGGACAGCCACTTATCTCTCACGCCTTTTCACCCCTGGCAAGCGGGGGTCGGCGGATATTGCGGCCTCTGGGGGGCGGTTTTCGAGCTATTTGTGGCGTGGGAATTGTTCTCGGGACAGGGATCGGGAGCCCTGCGGCCGCGGATCGGAAAAATCATATGTTTTATCATTTTCGACATCCAGGGGCACTCGTCGGGCCCTGGGGTATCCAAGAAGTGGTTCAGGATGAAGAGCTGGTCCTCGGGAAGCCCCAGACATCCGGCGTCTTTATTTTTCCGAGACACGGGCCCCCGACCTCTCGACCATTTCATCATTGGGCCGGGCTTCTCGTCCGGAGCAGACGTTTGCCGGTCACGAGGCCTGGTAAGGGCCCCGAAAGGCCGAAAATTAAGAACAACCTCCGTCTTGACATTCTGGATATATGGGGAGGTCCAGACTTCGGGGTAGGCACGTGGAGCACGCGAATCACGGATCAGTTGCTTTGTAAATCGGCGCGGGATCAAGACACCAGGAAGCTGCGAGCAGGCGCATCCGGGCCCACCAAGCCGGGCAATAGCATACACATTCACACACAGACAAGGTTGAGCGTTGCGGGCGGAGCAAGAAGGCCGCTCGGACACTCGACGGTACCGGCTGGCTCGAGCAAGCTCAGGCCAGGCAGAGGCAAGAGGACGCACACGATGCAGGACAGGCCGCACGAGGCATGAGGACAAGCGCAAGGTCCGAGGCAGGAATTTATACATGACCACCGCTTGGAGGATCAACTTTCGGGGACCTCGGCAGGCGGTGGGCATGGGCGTATTCGGGCCCCCGGGGGCCAACATACATCCATATCCACCGCCCGCCGGGGCACCAGGACGTCGGTTCCCAGGCGGTGGGTGTGGACAAATCCCCACCTCGCACACGGTGGCCGAGCAGAGCGAAGAAAGAAGCGAAGAACGAGGCGAGGAGCGAGGAGCGACAGCAAACCGCCGAGGGAAGCAGGCAGGCAGGCGCGAGAGGGGGCAGCAGGCCGACCGGCGGAGGAGGGGGGGCCGAGGGTCGGGGGCTTTGGGGCGGGGGTCAACGCAAACGGGGGCCAGCCAGAGCGCCCGATCGCGCAGGATCCTGCAGGGCGAGGGGCGCATTGACCCGGGCTTGGGTGCAGGGTCCTGCAGGTTCCTTCGCATTGACCCGGACTTGGGTGCAGGATCTTGCAGGTTCTTGCAGGAGTCTGCAAGGCCTGGCTGACCCGGGTCTGGACCGACCCGGGTCAGAAGATCCCCGAGAGGGAAAATGAGGAGGCACCGCGCCAAGAGGGCAAGGAATGTCACAAGGAGGGAAAGGATCGGGTATAGCCAGGACTCCAGGTAAGGGGGCCGGGTTAGTGGTAGGGCCCTGGCTGGCAACATGCCCGCGGGAAATGTAATTGTCCGGTCTTCGGTAGGCAAGTTTAGTGTTGAGTGGAATAGTTTGCTGAATCCCGAGCTGCCACTTGCCACAGCGCGCGGTTGCACTTAGCACTGCTCCGAAAAATGTCACTCTGGCAGTTCACTCACGTTTGTTGCCTGTTTGTATCGGTGTAGCGGGCATCCTCGGTTGTGGAGATCGATGGCAGCCCCCATCCAAATCCAGTTCGTTGGACGCCAATCATATGATCAGAGAGAGAGGCTGCCCTCCAGAGCGCTGCGATGTCGCGCCGCGTCGTGGGGCAGAGGTTAGTTGTTCGGTCGCATCGAGGGCCTGCGGTATGAGAGGCTGTGACTGCGCGCGTACGACCTTAGTGCCAGAATACTGATGCCCGACGGTGGCGTCTACGGTGAGGACTGGACCCAACATATCGAGTTGTTGGTCGCATGTGTGCACGGCGGTGTGTCAAAGCGCCTGCGTCCGAAGCCGCGGACCCACTTCGCCCCCGGACGGCCAATGCCCAACGAGGATCGAGGCAGGCCGTCAAATGAATCGCTCGGTCGATACGGGCGAGTACCCGGCGGCGCTGCCAACGCTAGGCGGGGACGTGCCAGAAGACGGCGTCATGGCGGCCGACGATGGTGGAGTCGTTGGCGCCGCCAACGTAGGCGGCGCGGGCACAGGGCGCGGGCTACTTGACGAGCTCGTCTATGCGTTGAGGGGCGCACGGTGGCATCTGCTCACCTGTGGTCTCGGCCAGCTCACGGGCGCCCAGGTCACGGTCGAGGTGAACGATCAGTTGAACTCCAACGACCGCCTAGGTTTGCTCACTCGCGGCAGTTAGGTGGCGCCAGACTCGGGCGCTCTGCCACCGACGGAGAAGGGCCAGGACCTGCGCGCTTGTCGGCGCTGCACGAACGGCGCGGCGCGCGATTGCGGGCGCTCGACGGTGCACGGGGCATCTTTCGGTGACGCGCAAAAGTGGATCAGCGATCCATGAATTTGGCGCGCGGTCGCCAAACCCATGGATCGGGGGAGGTGCCCTCCCCCAAATGCGGCGGGCGCCGCCTCGCACGGCGGCGGGGGTCCGCGACGCCCCACGGGAGCTAGGCCCGTCGCTCATCCACGCCCCCCCCCCTGTGATCCACGCTTGCGATCGCCTGAATCTGCGGCAAGGAGGCCTGCGGCGACGCCCCCATCCAGGGCCCGCGCGCGACAGGGGCCAGTTGATGGGGGCCCCCCGCCGCGGCGGGCATGCAACCCAATCGCTCGCCAGCGCCGGCGGCGCCAGCTGCCCGGGGGCCACCGCCGCGGACCCAGGGATATACGGGCGCCAATTTTAAGCTTGGCCTGTCCTTCTACAGGAGGAAATTCAAAGTATTAAATAGTAATCGGATGATCATTTCTCAGATATGTTTGATTTTTGGTGCATGTTTGATCATTTTCATTCTTCGCCCAAAGATCCCCGCGCGGGAGGGCGCGCCCGACCTTGGCCTAGTCGCCCGCCAGCATCGGCGGCGCCAGACGCCTGGTCGCCGCCGCCGCGGGCCCAGGGATAGACGAGCGCCATTTCCAGCAGGCGATCGCAAACATGGATCAAGGGGGACGCGGATTAGCGACGCGCCCCTGTCCGGGGGGAGCCGTGGATTCCCGCCGCTGAGCGAGGCGGCGCCAGCTGCATTTTGGGTTGGGCGCCTCCCCCGATCCGTGGATTTGGCGACCGCGCGCCAAATCCATGGATCGCTAATCCACGCTTGCGCGCCCCCGATTCCTTCTGGAGCTGTCCGAGTTAGGTTGCTGGCGCGATCGGCTCAAACCGCCGAGCAGCGCCGCCATCCGAGGCGGCCTCGCACCGCCGCCAGCTGCGGGGGCGCCGCGCCGAAAAGCTGAAAGTGATGGCGCGGGGCGGCGGCGCAGCGACTGGCGCGACAGCCGAGCGCAACCTGTTCGCGGGAGTCGCCGAGAGCAGCGCCTGGACCACGCCGGCGCTGGCCCGCCGGGCGGCCGACCAGACGTCGCGGCGCGGCGCCAACGTCGCAGAGCGAGGTTCGCTCGGAAAACGACGGGGCGGGCCCGGGGTGCCCCGGGGAACTTCGCCCCGGATTTCGAAGTGGTTTTCGTATTTTTGTTGTTTGGTCGGAAAAGAATACAAAAGGGAACCCTCGCTAAATTCATTCCGTTTTTTGCTCGCCGCTTTGGGCAGAAATCCACGCGGGAATCCGAGCAGAAATCCAAGGGCCCAGAAGGGGCAGAGGAAGGGCCGCGAGGGGCGCGGACTGAGCGCCATAGCTTCGGGCGGGCCAGCTGCGCCAGGGGGCGCCGCCGCGGGGCAGACGCCGAGAGGCCCCAGGAGGCAGCCGCGGGCGGCGCCCAGGCCAAAGGCGAGTAGCAAAAAGAAAGACGAAGAACATGACAATGTACGTCTATCACGCCAGGAGTAATATTTCGATTCATGCGCTCCATCATCTGCGCGGATGGCGGGCGATCTAGAAATCGACGCATGTCGGGGTGATGCGTCGACGCAAACAATGGGTTCGCGCACGACAAAGACTGCAATTCAGATCGACCCCAGCTGCCTGAGCCGCTATTCCATCCGGCCGCCGCGCCCGCGAGCCCCCGGCGCGCGCGCGGCGGCCCTTTCGAGGGCGGGCCGTCGGATCGCCGCGGTCACTCAGTCGCGCCGAGATCCCTCTCTACCCCTGCATTTTCCCAGCGCCCGGTCTGCGTTTCACGCGCCTTCGGGGGCGCCGGTTCCAGAGAGGGGGTCGAGCTCTTAACTCCACTGGCGGTCGAGGCTGCAGCGCGCCCGCGCGTCTTCA